GAAAAATAAAATTGACAAAGATTATTGTTTAAGGTTGATGGACACACATGTCTTAATTATTTTTTTTTTTTTGTTTTTTTTATGAATTGGTCAAACCCAAACAAAAACATTGTTTTCAATCGTTATGAGTCTACCAATTGAATAGAATTTTATTATAAACAATTGTCTTGTAAATGTTGTAAATGGAATTTTTAAAGTATTCTGAATGTAAAAATAAAGAAAAAAGTGTGCAAGACAATAAGAAATATTACCTGCCAAAAAAAAAAAAAAAAAAAAAAAAAAAAAAAGTGAAGTTTTGTTGAAATCGGTTGAAAAATGTAGGAAATCCGATCCCATATATAAATGAACACACACAAACAAACAACCTGGGTTTTATAATAAGTATAACTCGATATGAGTTATCCCCCTTTCATTCTTGTGATGCCCATAATCGTGTTTTCAAATTGATTTTGTGCAAAAACAATTGTGTTTTTCCAATTTTTGGCGCTTGTAGAACCACCACAAGGTAATTTTACATAGTCCTGTGAAGTTTTGTTGAAATCGGTTGAAAAATGTAGGAAATGCAATCCAATATATAAACGTACAAACACACACAACCTGGGTTTTATAATAAGTATGATTTTCAATTGAAACATTATATTCTGTCTGAAACTGATTAATTAATAGAATATATCCGCTATAACTTGAATCTGTATAAATTCGTTCATTTTATCAAATCTTAATTTATACAAATTGCTTCTTCATAAACACTACAAGATCTTATATATATATATATATATATATATATATATATATATATATATATATATATATAAAAAAAACACACAGAGCATCATATATCCATGTTTCTTGCATATGAGTAATATATGCACCCAAGTGTACAAATATCCCCAATGTGCATTACATCAAGTTTTATATGATGCTTAAACATTTGGACACTTATACTAAGCTGCAAAGTAAATCATCACATCAAAATCGGTAGATATACAAGACTTCTCTCCCAATTTCAGCAACAAATATAAAAGCAAAAGCAATAGATGATATATTGAATGTTACTAAAACTTTATTCATAGTCTTTATTTGGTGGAGTTCCATACCAGTTTCTTTAGGTACATTTATTACAAAGTTATGAAATTCTAACATCTGAAGAAAAAGTGTTTTGTATATGTCATTAAATACTGTAATTAACCTTGTCAAACAGAATCCATTTTTGTCTGAATTTCTTAGATTAGGAATTGTTATTTACATGTGGACTATTGTCCTCATCCTTGTTGTTGATGTCCACTGATCATCTTCTGTTTGAATTTTTGTGATGAGGAGTCATTATTTAAATGTGGACTATTGTCTTCATATTTGTTGTTATCTCTCTGGCCTTCATCAGGTGTATAGATCATGTTCACTGTAGGTTACCCTGATTGATATACACCTGATGAAGGCCAGAGGCACAATGACCAAAACAAAAAATAACAAAAATTAGGATTGTAGTCTGCATGTAAATAAAAATCTATTTGGTTGTGTAATGGTTACAAAATATAAAGGAAAACACTTGACATCAATGAATGTATGCTATACTACATTGGCAGAGAGTTTGTGATTTGTTTTTTATGGTTTATCAACACTGTGGGTTACTTAAGGCCAAAACATTTTGGATTATAAGACATTTTTTTTTTTTTTGTATGCGAATATAGTATTAACTTTTTTTTTACTTTTTTTATTTAAGAAGTAACAAAAATTTTCCAGATACAAGCACTACCATTTCACACATAGCTGGGAGGAGGGGTTAAATCCATACAAAAGATATTTCTCAAGGGTATTTTCACATAATTGAATGAAACAAACTTGACTGGAATTCAAACTCAGCTCTCCAATTTCAGATAGGCATAGGATTGATTGAATCTTTAGTTTATAAAACTTTTGTGAGTTATGTAAACAAAACATTTTTAGATTATAATATTTTTTTTTTTTTTGCAAGAGGATATTGCATTAACAATATTTCTAGATACATGTCAAACTATTTAACCCATAGCTGAGGGAAGGATATAGATTTATAACTTTTCCAAGGGTATTTGCTTGTAAGTGAATGTAATGAACCCAACTGGAATTTGAACCTGGCTTTCCAATTTCTCTTTCCAAGCCACTATCCATTACAGCATCCACACTGGTAGAGGGGAATATGTAGATGATATATTAAAATACTTAGTGAATAGGGTAGTATTTGTGCTGCTTACAATACTTGTCTATGTCTGTATCCGAAAAATTCAAGTAGGATTCAACTGCTGTTCAAATGGATTTGTTATTTTCCCATAGATACTTGAACTGGATTTTGCGGTTGACAGATACTTGGTCTGCGGCAGGAGCAAAATCAGAAATGGCAGTGGATAAATGAGTTTAATAATAACAGCCACAACAACATTTTTGTTTAGAGACTAAATTAAGTTAGGAGCAACTCTGGATTGGCCGAAAGGTCATCATGTGACAAGGAAGGCATGAAGTTAAACCAGCATTGTAAAAAGGAGCAGACAGGAGGTTGGATAGTATTTTGGGGAGGGAAGAAAAAAAAAAAAAAAAAATTCAAAAAAAATTTTTAATTAAGAAAAAAATAAAATGGAATAAAAAACACACACAATGTAAAAGAGACTGCAAAATAAAACAAGTTTACAAACCTGAAATAATATTAAAAATAAAGTCATTGGAGAAAACAAAAGCAGGAAAAAAAAATGTATATCATACATTCTCAGATATTTCTTTGTTTTATATTAAAGGTTTAACACTTTGAAACAAGTTTCAACCTTTTTGATATTTATTTGAAAGTGAACTCACTGTTTAACTTTTATCACTGTGTGAACAAAAGGTTTATCCTGCCAATAGGGGTAACTGACCCCTGAACAATAGTGGGTTGTCATCTCCTGCTCTGGCAACAGAAAACAACCGAGTGAAATTAACAATAAAGTTACTGGAATTGAGAGTATGACTAGGAATTACTCTATAGCATGAGCAACAGCAAGGATTCAGCAAAGCATCGTAACACTGAAAGCAAAATGGTGCTCAAGTATACCAGGCCCTCAAAGTCCCATATATCAGAATATATTTAAATAAAGTACAAAGTAAGCAACTCTCTCTATATGTGTGTGTATATATATATATATATATATATATATATATATATATATATATATATATATATATATGTGTGTGTGTGTGTGTGTGTGTGTGTGAATGTTACAATTCATTAGCTTTATGATTCTAAAAAGACTTTCCTTCACCTTGCCAAAATTAAACCGTGAACATTTTTTCTTTTCTTCATTTTTTCTTTTTTTTTCTTTTCTTTTATGATTTACAAGGTTTAATACCATCCAACCATTAAAAGCAAACAGAATGAAGAAATAACTGCCAACAAGATAAACTCCCATCCTATATACCAAGGGCTCCTCTTACATGACCGATGCTTGAATTTCTTTATTCCAACTCAGGCTACTTATTTTAACTGCCAAAGGGGGATAGTCAGTTTAATAAAAAGCAACAGTTGGATAAATAAAACTACTCAAGAATTGTAAATACTTGAGAATCCTATCTAAAATTCTGAGTAGGGATGAATGCACACAAAGATCTTAGACTATTTACAACAGCACTGACACACCATTTACAATAACACAACCAAAATTCTTGAAGATGGCTGATAGATTAGCTAAAAATGCTAAGAATGAACAATTATTTGGATAATTTCTACACTTAACTAAAGAAAAAAAATAAAATAATGAGAAAGCAGAAAGTCAAGTTCTAGTCAGGTTCATTACATTTACTTATACACAATTACCCTTGGGAATATGAATCCATCTCCTACCCCCAGTTATGGGATAAATAGTAGGACTTGTATCTGGTAAGATTGATATTCTAAACAAAATCATCTGCTTGATCCAATGGTGGAACAAGTGGATGATAACAGATCTCAACAGTTAAACCAGCAGTTGAAGGAGGGCTAATCATGATGGATGTACTACAGAAGGCACCACTTGAATCCATAACTGGATCCTGTATGTTTCATTCCGTATGTGCTGCAGAGAAGCATATGGGTCACTTCCTGGCAAGTTGAGGACCACCTTTAAACAAATTCATGTCATTCGCATTTTTTTTTTCTACTCTGAATTTCTTTCATTTCCAACTAACTCTTGCAAAGCCAAATGGTGATAGGGAACAGAGGACGAGAGCAGGTTTTGGTGACACTGGGAGCTTCTAGTCCTGAAACTGCATGTTGGTGGCAGATTTAGTCATCAACACTATCATCATAAAGTGATAAGCAAAGAAGATATTAAATTCTTGCATAACGGATAAAGTCAACAAAAATGAAACAAAATAAAAATAGATAAGCTTTAATTCATCCACAAAGGGTTGATAAACCATAAAAAAGGGGGGATTAATCTCAAACCCTTACAACCAAATACTTTTCAGAATTTGGTCATAGATTTGTAGAGATAAATCTTGTATTATTTCTTATGAAATAAGTTATTCTATTCAAGGGTTTCTTCTTAGCCTGTGAAAATAATTTGTTAGATGTAGGCCTTCCCCAGAAGGATGAGGAGGAATGGGTCATTACTCTACTGCACTGGCCCAATGCATATTTGTAGGGCTGAATACAACATGCTTGGGCAATCCTGTCTCTTTTCAATTCATGATTGCTCAAAAGGTATTTGCATAAGTGAGTGTAACAAATCCAATTAGAATTTGAACTCAATTTCCTGATTTCTCATTTTGAGCCATTATACATTACACCACCTGCACATCCAAGCTTACAGCAGTTGATATTCCCAAGTGGTCACCCATCTAGGTACTGATCAGGCTCAACATTGCTTAATGTCAATGATTGAACAAGAACTAGTGTTTCAGCATGATATGTCTGTAAGCTGTTCAGGGGGTCAATACTTGCAAATATCATGGATGAAGAAGGTTGGGACGTTGTGCCCTTAAGTTTTCTATTTTCTGATATCTTACCAACAAATCAGAAAGCCATACCACATTGAAATACTAGTACTCATCTGATCACCAAAGTTAAGCAACATTGAACCTGGTCAGTACATAGATGAGGGAGCACACAGGAATATCTGGTGCTGTAAGCTTGGAAGTGTGGGTGGTGTAATGGATAAAGACTCATAATTGGAAATTGGAGAGCAAAGTTTGAATTCCAGTCAGGTTCATTATATTCACTTACATACAAATACCCTTAGGAAAGCTATGAATCTATCTCTTCTCTCCAGCCATGGGTTAATTAAAAGATATTATCCTCAAAAAATTCTTAAAATTTAAAAATGTTTAGTCTTTAAATAACCTTTAAAAGGTTGACAAGCCATAAAAATAAAATAAAGTTAAAACAAAGTTTTGAAACAAGACATTCAAGTTTATTCATTCATTTCCTCAGGAAGTGGGTAAACTCTTACCTCAGTGACCAATGAAAACTTCATTTATTTCTTGTTATCAACAAATCAATAAATAAACCATGCCGTGTATAAGGGGTCTTTATGTACTAACTTAGTGTTGTGTGTGTATATATATATATATATATATATATATATATATATATATATAAAATCATCATTACACCCCCACACAACTGCAAAGATATAATCAGCATGTTGAGCACTAAGTCAGGAAAGACAAATAAAAAAATCAAAAAAATCTCTCAACTTAGAAGAATTAAGTTTGCCTGGGCAGACAGTCTGGGGATCAGAAGATTTTAAAGCAACATTCCATTTTCAAGAAAGTAAATTTTCTTAATTGTTTCTTTTCTAAGAACAGACTTACTCCATCTACTGAGTTTGACATTGTAAAATGACTTTTAGCAAATATGGCAAAATACACACATAAGCCAGCCAAAGTCTTATTTTTTGGGGGAGGTGATGGAAAGAATAAAGTACTTCCATTTTGGACAGATGAGATTCTTAGCTGATGCCCTTGATGTTTATGGCAAAGAATACTTAAAACAAAAGGTTTTAATCATTTCATTATACAGTTTCTATCAAACAACTTTGAGGCTTGGTTCTAATTTATAGGTATGAAATTAAATTTGGGAGGAAATCAATTTACCTCAGTAGAAAAGTAATAAAATTTTGAAAAAAAAAAAAAAAAAAAAAAAACACACAAACAAACAAAACAACATATCTAGACATGAACAGCAGTATGAAAACAATCTCTACCCACCAGATTAATAAAAGGATTAAGTTTAAAATTCCTTGAAATTTACTTGGACACCTGAAGAAGGCCAGAGGGTATAACAAGTGAAATGGGATAATCAAGATGAGGACATTAATCTGAATGTAAGTAATGTAAATAACCTTCAGTATTGTGATCAGATAAATAAATAAAAATAAGTTAATATCAACTGTTAAACCGTCATAAATTCAAATAGTGTTAGACAAGGATAGATATTTACAAAGCAAAGCAAAAAAATTAAAGTAATCACATAGGAGTAGATAGAGAAGTACAACCAAAAAAAAAACAAGAAATTTTTTTCTATGTATTGTAATGCACCCAGACAAGGGGAGAAAAAATATGGAGATTGGTAAATATATAAGAATTTGGTAAATATATAAGAATTTGGTAAATATATAAGAATTTGATAAATATATAAGAATTTGATAAATATATAAGAATTTGATAAATATATAAGAATTTGATAAATATATAAGAATTTGATAAATATATAAGAATTTGGAAAATTTCAATTTGACATATTTTCCCCAATGATACTAGTTCATTGGTGAAACAAGGGAATATATATATATTTCCTTTTCTTTTCTCTCTTCTCCCCTCCCATTTCAATATATCACTTCCGTTAAGTTAACCATCTAAATAGGTCAAGGTCTGGTCACTCCTCCTCCAATACTAAGTATGATTGAGAGAGATATGAAATTAATCCCACCCTATACTCTACCATGTCTCTTTAACTACCCCTTTTACACTGTTAAATTACAAAAACTTACACTACCCATCAATTTTAATTTCATTTTTTGTTTCATTTCATTTTTGGAAGTGCTATCTGATGATCTGGCATACTTTAAAAGGGCTCTGGTGAAATAAATTATTATAATGGTACCTTAAAGTGGTCTGTTTTTCTTTAATATATATATATATATATATATGTGCATGTATACGAGAGAAAGAGATTGTTAATGTTATTGTCTGTTGTATATGAACACTCGCAAACCCTGAATTATTCAAAGGGTAAAGACATTGCACTTTTATGATGTAAATGAAAACAGAGATGAATTCTGCTGAAAATGTACAAGACAAACGAGAAAAAATAAAATAAAAAAAGAGCAATTTTAAAGAAAGAGTTTATTATTTATCTGATAAGCCTCTCTTATGTCCAGAAACCCCCAAAAAACAAACTTTTTTAAGCAAGCCCAAAATATTTGCATATGTATTCGGCACACCTAAAATTTACTATACACAACCCCATTTGTATAGACAAGTGGGCACAAAAATTTTGCCCATACACAGATATTTTCCGTTATATGCCCAAACATACACAAGTCTATATATGCAGAATTGAAAAACTGGTTTATAAAGATTTCAATTGAAGCACAAATGGATCAGATTTCTTCAAAGATTTTTCAAGAATTTCTTGTCTTTTAGAATGATGAGATCATTACAAGTGAAAGCCATACAATTGTACAAGCCTGCAAATATCTCGAAGCTTAAATTCCCTCATTCTCATATTTTGCATGCATGAATGCACGTTATACAGCATGTCATTTTACTGAGACTAAAAATAGTAACAAGATTTACTAACTAAATCCTTAGAGAATTCATTAGAGAAACCATTATACATAGTTAATGAATTGACAAGCACCTGAAGAGGACCAGAGGGCACAATGGCCAAAACATTATAACAAAGATGACATTAGTCCAACTACCTTGGGTGACTCGTGGGCCTTGTATTGGGTGACTCGTGGGCCTTGTATTGGGTGAATATTAGTATAAAAAAAATGTAAACATTCTATTACTTTTTGCTTGGACAACAACAGAGTGGAGAGAGAAAAATCTTAGAAGACCAAGAAATTTAGGAAAAAGAAAACGCATGCAAAGTATCTAGTGTTCTGTCATTTGGCCATTTTGTAATTTTCAGTACCCCTTCATAGTTCATTCCAAAAAGTTCAACTCGAGTAAATAAATTGTTTCTGTTATTTGCTAATCTATCACACCTAACATTACATAATTCATCTCAAAAAGATAAAAATTGTAAGCTCTTTGTCGTGAGAAAAAGAGAAAAATAAAATATACATGGCCATTATAATTTGTTTTGAGGAATTGTTTCATTTAGATATAAGGATAAGATCTCCATGAATGTTAAATGAAGTCAATGTCTGTAAAATGGCCAAACCTTACTTTGAAATACCAGAAGTCATCTGTGGCATTTCAAGATATGATTTGACCATTTTACAGACATTGCATCCAAAATTATCTTGCAACAGAATTTCAAACTAGCAATTTGTACTGAGAATTTGATATGTGGGCAATGCTAAATTTGGTATAAAATGACTTCTATTGGGATTTTCAAGAAAAAAAAAATTACCCAAAACCACAAGTTATTTATTGATATCAGTCATCATCATCGTCAACTGACTATCATATTCGATGGAGACACTAGGAGATTTGTCTAGATCTGGTAGTTCAAATCGCATGATGGCAATGTCTCCTGGCAGATGCTCGCTAGTAACTAGCCAGCTTTGATTGTTGCTACTCCAATATGAAGTGTTCACCACTATGCATGATGGTCTGCAACCAGCTGTTCCCAATTTATATCTATCTGCATCACTTTCAGGTCCCTCTTATTGCAGTCTTTATAGCAGAGTCATTGACTACTTCATTATTGCTTCCCACACAGTGATTATTGGCAATCAAGAATTGTCCAAATGATAGGCATGCCGAGTTCATCATAGTCTTGCTGCTGCTAGCAGGGTTTCTATACTTGGCTTGTTTGCTTCAGCAAGGACTTTGGTGTTAGGAATATTGTCTTTACACAAGATATGCATTATATTGTGCAAATGGTGGCACTGCAAACTTGTCAAGAGCTTGATATCTCTGTGGTAAAGTGGTGTAGATTCGAGGGCATGCATCAAGGTTGAGATGCAAACCACTCGATAGACCTTGCATTTGGTGACAAAACCAATACTTCTCTGGTCTCACAATCAACTTCTCAGGGCAACAAAAGTGGCACCAGTTGCCTGGATTCATGTGTTGATTTTGTTGCTGAGGATGGCCTCTGTTTTAATCTTGCTTCTGAGGTAAATAAAGCAGGAATGGAATTCAGTGGCTAACCATCAATTGTGATCGTTGGCTCCACATAGGGCTCATTGGCAAGAAGTTGGTAAAGGGTTTCAGTCTTTTTTATATTAATCTTCAAGCAAAAAAATTTTGAAGCCCTTTTGAAGCTGGTAATGATTTCTGCAAGTCAACAAGTGAGTCAGAGATGAGAGTGGAGTCTTCAGCTTAGAGCAGGTTGCAGATAAGCATTTCATATTGTTAGCAGAGTGTCAAACCAAGCTATTTTTTTAACAATTATTCTTCTTTAGTTTTTGAGTGATAATGACAAATCATTCAAAGAAATTTAGACAACTTAAGACTATCATACCTTATCAGTCTCATGACCAAGTGTGGTCATAGGGTTACTGACCAAGTGTGGTCATAGGGTTACTGCCCAATTGAACACCTGACAAGTTCCCTCCACATGTCTTGGTTGTGTGCCAATAAAAAGGTCTTGAGCAAGTGGACCTAGGTGAGTCCATTCCTCACTATGTAATACTAATTACTAGTAGCTACAAAACAAACATGGTTTGGAGTAAGAGCTGTAGAGAATGTAGGTATATGACTAAAATCTGATTATCACTGTTTCAGTCAGATAATAAATTTCGGTCTTATCAGAAGTCTATTCCTTTGATCAATATTACTTGCTTAAGAAAAAAAAGAAAAAAAAAAGACAAGAAAAAAAAAAAGAAAAAAAAAAAGACAACAACATTCTGAGCATTTTCCATTCAGTGGATTAAAGCACTAGTTCATAAATTTGTTAGAATAGTAATTGTGAGTTCAATCCCCAGGTAAAGTAATACAGACTTACA